TTGTTTTAATCGTAATTTAAATTTTCACCTAATAACCTATGGGCCGATTCTGCCATAAAATAGACGAATGTTATAGCAAAGCTATGTTACGTTCCAATTTTCATACAAAATGTTAATAAATACTGTCATAAATATCATGCATTTGCCGTGCGATCACCCTGCAGTCTACTACTAACTACTTTTTGAAATTTACAAGTGCTAAGATTTATATAATGTTATTAACTGCAACTCTCTTTAAAATTTGATGCAAATTATAAGAGCATTTTGTGAAGGGTAAAAGTTTACGCAAGTTCTAACAAGCACAGTTACTTCTACGCGCTCTTGTCTACCAACATTAATCAAGATCTAATTTATTAGAAATTCCCACAAATGTTTTTGTATTTTGATTGCGTGTGAAAAAGCTTTCAAATTCATAAAACTCTATTGGCATTTTCTATATTTTGATATTTTTAACAAATTAATTAATTTGTTATGTATTTGTAGCACCCAAATCATAATTGATTAAATCTATTTCATTTCATCAATACAATTTATTGAATGTGACTGCATTTCTATTTTATATGAAATTGCGTTTTTAATTAGATTTATCAATTTTAATTACTCCCCATGCCGAAACGTTCCAAATTTTCTAAACGTTTTCACTCGAAAAGAGCAAAATAAATAATCTAATATGGATCTGCAAAATAAGTAATTAAAACAGGTCACATATCTGTGAAATAAAACATTATTATATATGATGCTCAAATATTAATGAATTATTAAAATTGATATTTATTTATAGTAGTATTCTATATTTTGTTATATATTTAGTTTATTCAAATATATTTATAGTAGTATTTATAGTATATATAGTAGAACACGATCTTCGAAATTTATTTTTCGTCAAACAACAACAAAATTTTGAAATATTAGCGACTATCAAATATTTGTCGACAATACTTGGTCATTACTGCTATGTTGAAATCTTAATTATTGAAGTCATGGAGAAAATTGCAATCACTTTTTATACCACTTTTTTATTTAATTTTAATTCCCATTAAACGTTCATTTCAAATTGTAATCTTTTTTGTTACATAAAATGGCAACATAATAATTTTGACAAATTCATTTAAATTAAGTAGGGATCAACAACAAAGAAAATATAAAACAAATACTTTTATGTGAAACAATATTGACTTTGGAATGACAAATATTGAAGCTGAGCGTTTAACTACTACTCTCGGGCGTAACTTGTGGGGAGATTTAATGCGTGTGTGTTTTATGTTTTGTCCAGACAAATTCTAATTATCATCCTACTATGTCATTTCTATTTGTCAGTAAAACGAATTTATAAATGGATGCTGAAATATTTCAACAAATGTTTAGTAATCTTGTGAAACAAACAATATATTATAACTTATTGTTAGTCATGCATGTTGCACAAATTACAAGACATATAAGTAAATATAATTCATTCATATACAAACTTTGAATCGCATTTTAAGTTAACTTTTAGACCATAATTGTGTACTAAATTATGAATTACAAAATTATTTTTTACGATTCAAATCATGATCAATAAAAAACAGCAAAGTGCGAATACAAATGATCACTCGAACGGTGTAGTCAAATTTCTTATTACACTAAAGGTGCTGATTAGTTTTAGGCAAAGGCAGGTTTAACCGTTTCGAAGATACGGGAAGGAAAGTGCAAGAAATAACAATTCAGTTTTTGAGAGAACGGAGCGTCGAATTTGAATGTTTCAAATAGCATTTTATTTGTATTTACGAAATGAAGAACTGATATTTTTGAAAAGGCAGGTTCAGTGATTCCGGAGATCTAATAAAATAAGTTAAAACTGGCATTGGCATTTGTCAAGGATATCCTGATGGTTTTGACACACCATAGAAAAACGAATGCAGTATGTACATTAGAGCGGGTCGATTTGTATGGGTCAAAAAAAGTCGCTTAGGCACTCATGATTTCAAAGGGATCAAAATAAGATACTTTGCTGAAGAACACAAAAGGTGAAGAAACCACAGCTCTAAAATGAATTCTGATGTCCTGTGTATTGGCCCAAAGATAAGGGATATAATTTGAAAAATTCCATTTTGACCTATTTAGAGTGTCCTAATTGCCTCCAAATGTATAACCGATCCCCACTAACTTTGGAAGGCCAATCCACCCATGCCCCCCCTGAGAGGTTACTCAACATTTAACCCTCATTTTTGGGTCAATGCACGGGACATCAGAATTCATTTTAGAGGTGTGGTTTCTTCAGCAAAGTACCTTATTTTGATTTCTAGTATCCGAAAATCATGCGTGCCTAAGTCACCTTTAAATCGATCCGCCCTAAGTACATACATATTCAGATAAAACAATTCTAACAAGAATTTGAGAAAACAGATCTATCTATTCAATATAATTTAGCTAATACAACTAAGGACATAAATAATATTCGATTTATATTGATGGAGTTTAGTACCCTAAATATTTTATAACTGATAATTGCTATTAATAATATTAACGTATATAACTGAACGTTTTAGTATAGTTTATTATTACGTACAAACGTGCAACTTTACTATGATATAAATTGAAACTTAAAATACTGTAATACAAGAGAGAAATCATAATTAGAATTCGATAAGTATCATTAGTTTTTTAATGAGCACATAGACTAAAAGTGTTGGTTATTTTTTATCATTCACGATATCGATTTCATCCGACAATAGCCTTAGAAGCTCTACATTAAGAAAGGCGTGAGCTATGTGGTATATTCTTTATTCATACGGAAATATAAGGGTAGTATTGTGATACGGTGGTATCAAGAATCAGATATCAAGTTACATACGAGCTTATACACTGCGATTGTCATTTTTTTCTAAGGGAAGAGCCGTGACTAAGCCAAGTACGTGCCTCATAATGTGTCCATCGAACAAGCGCAGTAATTTTATAAGTATACAAACTTGAATTAATTATTAAACTTAAAAATATTAATATTATATTAAGAATATTCTTATATTTACTAATGCAATCATCACAAGGAAGAAAATAATAAAACTAAATTATTTGAGGTGTTTAATATTGTTGCAAAATTACAAAAATACTTTTAATTACGAAGTATACTTTTATACTATGATAGCACATGAATAAACCTCATAACATAAACAAACATTCAATTACTTTCAATCTAATAAATCAATGGTGCTCAATCGTTCAAGCTTCATTCTTCTCTTGCGTATTCTGCAAAGAGTTGTCATTTTTAATATTTAATTCTTGTTTGAAATTTTTTTAATAGAATTTTTGGATTAAAATGATTACGTATAATAGAATATTTGAAAACTAATGGTCTTAAAACTTTCGTCGGAAAGCAAGCTTCAATGTCAAAAAAAAAATCGCTCAAAAACAAAATTGTATAAAAATAAATCGCACAAAAACAGATTTCACTAAGGCACATATATAAACATACGTATATACATACATGAAAACTGTTGGGATCGGAAAGTAATATATATATATATATATATATATATATATATATATATATAAATTAAAATTAACATATATAAATTATTAAAATTTAACGGGTATAATGGGTAGTACTGCAGCTCCAACTCATTTCAGGTAAAAATAGTGTAAAAGATTTCCCATTGCCATATCACACCGCAGTGCCCGAAATGGTTTTCAATTAGAAACGTAATTTTTATCTATATTTTCAAGTGAAACTGAACATCGCTGCTGCACGATGTCAGGTTGTAAAATGTGTTCAATTGTGATGACACAAGAAGACACATAATTAAAAAACAGCATATCAAAATAGTTATTTTACCAGAGCGCCATTTTTCTGCCGTGAGCAAGAATTAATAAAAACTTCCCAGATTTCCCAAAAAAGCTGAAACTAGTTTGCCAATGCAAAATGTATATTTAATTGTGAATTGTAAAAAAAAAAAACATTTTAGAAAATGTGGTGAACAGACATTTATAATGAATAAATTTTTCTTCTAATTTTAGGAGTTTTTTAATTGTTTAATTGTTTTGAAACATTTTACTTATTTATTATGCTATTTATTCTATTGAGCAAATCATGCCAAGAAAACTAAAAAAAAATAGCTTTTCATTTTCAATCATAACATTCGTATTTCATGTTGAATTTTTGAAATTTTACGTTAATTTAATTTTTTATTATTTACAATATCCAAAATTGCGTCGTAAACTTCACAATTACAATTAATTTTAGAATATGGACACCACTAGGTATAAAAAAAGCCTTAATATTCTCGTTCCAAAGTAAATTTTGCTTTCATTTTTCATATTTGTTCCATTTCCATATCCCTAACCACGCATGTCTTTCAAAGTTTATCAGATGCAAAACATTTGCAACAAAAACAAAAGTATCCCGATTAGTCATTATCCAGATTATAATTTGTTTATATCACAGTTCAGGTCGAGCGTTCGACGGGTTAAGATCGAGGTAAAAATTAATACAAATAATATTAGATAACAAATAATAGACGTGGTATGAGTCACAGGCTCGGGCCTGCTGATTTACGGCTACCGGCAAACAACAACAATGGTGTAGTGAGCACAGAAGTCGAAACTGGAATTAAAATAAGTAATGCAGTGCAATTAATTAATAATACGGATTATACGGGATATGATATTTCCGAAGGTATTGTTCATAGTAAAAATGAAATTCTAAGTGAGAATCATGTTGGAAAATTAGTTTTTTTTTTTTTTTTTATAATTTTTATTTGGCCTCGCTTACTCTGAGCATTTAGCCACCTACAACATTTATTTACATTCTATACTAATTTTTTATATCAAATTCAATTTATATACAGATTCTATTCTTCTTATACTATATACTTTCTCTCAACTTATCTTCTTCACTAAATTCTATTCTTCTACATAGTTCAACTTATCTTCATTCTTCCCTTTTTTTTTATCTTCTTACTTCTTTCTACTATTTCATTTTTCTTTATTTTCAATTCTAATTCAATTTTTATACATTCTAATACCTTATACATTCTAACCATTTTTTTTACATTCATCTTACAATTGAAATTCTGACACATTTTTTATATTTTTACAATTGGAAGCGCCAGGGATCGAACCAACGATCTCCGGCATGTGAGTCGGACATGCTACCTCTGAGCTATGTCCGCCACAGGAAAATTAGTTAATTCGAATAAAGTAAATAGCGTTCAAACGGATCTAAATGATAAAAATAGTGATAGTAAAAGTATTAAAAAAAGTGGTGTAGTTAGTAGTAATAAATCAGAAATAAGAAAAGATAGTAAAAAAATGGATAAAATAAATAAAATAAAATCTGAAAGGAATGCGTTAAATAAAGATGTAATTAAAAAAGTTATAGTGGAATTGAATGAAGAGGAAATAAAAGAAATAATAAATATTAATAAAAACAAAGCAAGTGAAAATTTGAAAGAAACAGTTAAAAATTGGTTTGATATGGTAATGGAAGAAGAAACTAGTGAGGCAGTTGGTGTAAATGAATCTCAGGAGAATAGTAATGATATGGTTGTTGAGGAAGAAGGCGATATAAATCAAAAAGAAAAGACAGCTGTAAAAGAATTCGAGGGAAATCATAATGATATTGCAGTAAAAAAAAATTTAATAAGAGCTTCAACATGTTAAATAGTGGAATAAATTTCTACAGTGCATTAGATGAAGGGCCTTATGAAGTTTATGCAGAATCAGAAAATCAAAATCTAGGTAACTACCATAACGTTGCGTTGGGAAGAATGATTTATAAAAATTCCCCAGCATTAAGCAATAATATAGAAAATTTCACAAAAATTGGCAAAAACAAAATTAAAATAACATTCAAAAATTACGAGTTTGCAAATAAAATAATTAGTGAAAAATTTTTGAGCGAAAACAAAATAAAAGTATATATTCCTAAACATAAAGTATGTAGAACAGGTATAATATTCAATGTTGATTCTGACATGGATGAGGAAGAAATTAAAGAAGTCATTAAATCAGAAATTGAAATAATTGATGTTAAGTGTATAAAAAAAAGAAATACAAGCCATAGTTTTAACAAATCGCAAATGGTTAAAATTATGTTTAAAGGAAACTATTTGCCAGATAAAGTTTCGATATATTCTGTGAAATTGCAGGTGAGTCCATATATCCAAAATGTTGTCCAATGCCACAAATGCTGGCGGTATGGTCATATCAGACTACAATGTAAAAGCAAAACTAGATGTCGCAAGTGTGCTAGGGAACATAGCACAGATACATGCCTCATTGAAAAAGATTTTGAATGCGCTGTGTGTCATGAACAACATGAAGCAAATGATAAAATTTGCGAAGTGTTTCAATATCATAAAAGAATTAAAGAATTAATGGCCTTTCAGAATATATCATATTCTGAGGCTAAATTTATTCTTCGCAATCAAAAATATGCAGAATCAGCTAAAATAAATCATTATAATCCGGATTTTAAAAGTACGTTTCCTAGAGTTAATGAAACGGGTAAATTTGGAAATAATTCTAGGCATAAGAATAAGTACGAATTGCTAAGCCATTTTCAAGAGCAAGAAATAAATATAGAACCAAATAGGTTAATGGCTATGAATAAACCTAGGCAAATAATTGAAAGAAGGCAAACAGTAAATATCAGATCTGGCAATCAAATGCATAATAGGAATTTAAATCTAGCATTGGGAGTGAAAAACAGTAGCGAGAAATTTGGTAAAAATTTAAATTTGGAAGCATTTAAAAAAATGCAAATAAGACATGAGGAACTATTGAAGAAAGTGAGGGAAAAATACAAGAATAAAGAAGATGTTGTTATAGAGGAAGTCCTGGTAAAAGTTAAAAATGATTTTGATTTAATTCTCGAAAAGTTAAACTTTGAAGTTTCTAGGAAAAGCATTGATCAAAAAAATACAGTGGGAGATGACAATAGTACAAAAGCTTAAAAAAAAAAAAAAAAATTACAAATAGTTGAATAAATTTAAAAAAACAAATTAGTAAATCTCATAATGAATTTTTACAATGGAATATTAGATCTTTTAATGCAAATAAAGAAAGTTTAAAAATTTTTTTATATATCAACATAAATTAAGGCTAATGAGTACATGGAAAATGTGCAAAAGAAAATTATACAATCACAATTACAATTTATTTTATGGAAACAAACATTCTACAATTCAACTGTAGGTCTTTGATACATAACAAAAGTAATATTGAACATTTCTTATTTGAAAACAAAATACATATTGCTACATTTTCAGAAACATGGTTGAAGAGCGATAGGAAATTTTCGCTCAGGGGATATAAGACTGTGCGCAGTGACAGAAAGGATGGGTATGGTGGTACTGCAATTCTAATTAAGGATAAAATAATTATAAATAAAGTATTAGCTTTTAATACGGGAACAATTGATATAAATAAATTCCAAATATCTGGCATAGAATTTTGTGCAGGAAAACATCAACTATCTATAATTTCGGTATATATTGTACCTAACTATAATATTTCTGTTAGTCAATGGAATGATTTATTAAGTCAGATATCCAAACCTTACATAATTTGTGGTGACTTTAACGCTCATCATATGGCATGGGGGTGTAATTGGAATGATAAGATTGGCAATAACTTATTGGAAGTTATTAATGACAACAATTTAATTATATTAAATAACGGGAATCCGACTTTGAATTTTAAGAATAGTTCGACAGTAGTAGACATTACATTGTGTACTCACGAGGTGGCACATAAAATTGTATGGAATGTCAGGAATTATTCTCTTGGATCTGATCATTATCCAATAATTATGCAACTAAGAGAATCACCTATTATAAATAGAACTAGGGAATATTGGAACTGCAAAGCTGCCGACTGGACAAAATATCAAAAAGTAATCGAGTATTACTCAAATGATTTTGAAGTAAATGATCCGGTTGTTGCTTATACAGAATTTATGAACATAATCAATATTGCAGCGGAGAAAAGTATACCAAAAAAGAGAATATGTTCCAATATTAAACACTTTAAACCTATTTGGTGGGATAATGAGTGCGACGAACTTATTAGGAAAAGAAGAGATGCAGAAAAAAATTATAGGCAGAAATCTAACTACCATAATTATTTAATATATAAAAATATTAATGCTGAAGTCAGAACGATATTCAGCAGAAAGAAGAGAGATAGTTGGCATGAATATACTAATAATATTAAACCAAATACGTCTACCAGGGAAGTATTTAGGACAATTAAATGTTTGAAAAAATATATAGAACCTGAAAATTTACAAGAAAACGTTAACCCAAGTATGATTGAGAATATTATTGATTCTTATGCTCCATCTAGTGTTAGAAATGATTATTTCAATGTGGATAAAAAGGTTTTTGGACGCGAAACATTCCTATTAGTGAAACCTTTTACATTGTGGGAATTAGAAATTGCTTTAATTAAAGGTACCGATACCGCACCAGGTATGGATGGAATATTTTATTCTATGCTCATAAACTTGCCAATGGTGGCAAAAGAGATTTTACTAAAATTGTTTAATAAATTATGGACAAATCCGGAAGTAATTGGAGCCTGGAATAAGTATATTACAATTTTAATCAAAAAACCTAATAAAGATGCGAATGAGATCTCTGCGTATAGACCGATTTCTCTTGCATCCTGTGTTTCAAAGGTTAAGGACAGAATGATTAAAAGAAGACTGGAGTGGTGGAGTGAAAAATATGGAATACTACCAAAAAGTCAATTTGGCTTTAGGAAGGGTATGGGAACACAGGATAGTTTAAGTAATTTTATTAGTGACTTACATATATCCTTTGCGAAAAATAAGTATGTTGTGGCACTCTTTAGTGACATCAAGGGTGCATACGATAATGTTTTACCTAAAACATTATCAGAATCTATGTCAAAGATTGGATTACCATGTAATTTTATTAGGGCAGTTACTAATAATATCTTTGAAAGGGAAATATATTTTAGAATAAATGGTAAAATAATTGGACCAAGGAAAATATATAAAGGGTTACCACAAGGAGGTATTTTAAGCCCTTTATTATATGCGATATACGTAAGAGATATAGAAGGGATCTTGGAGCCAGGAACAAAAATTTTGCAGTATGCGGACGATGTGGTTATTTATGTAGAAAAAGCAAGCCTGCAGGAAGCTTGTGAGGTAATGAGTAAAAATATTGATCGTTTTCATGAGTGGCTGGAAGAGAAAGGTCTGGAATTATCAGATAATAAAAGTTCAATTGGTATTTATACAAGACACAGAAATATTAATCATGTGGATAAAATAAATAGTAAATATCACATCATTAAAGTACAAAAATATAACAAATTCTTAGGAGTTATATTTGATCAAAAGTTATCTTTCAAGCACCACATGGATTATGTGCTTAAAAGAGTAGAAAAAAGAATAAATATTTTGAGAATGACCAATGGTACATGGTGGGGATCACACCCTATTACGTCCTTGAACCTCTATAAAACACTAATAAGACCCATTTTTGATTATGGATATATTGTATTTAATAATTCGATTTACTGTAGGGTATTGGACAAAGTGCAATATAACTGTTTGAGAATTTGTATGGGGGCTATGCGATCCACTCCCACTAATGCTCTTTTGGTGGAAAGTGGGGAGATGCCTTTATACCTAAGACGACAGTTCATTTGTGACAAATTTATACTTAAAAAAATAATAATACAGGATAATCAAATTATAGACAAAGTAGGTAAAATTTCTATAGACACTACAATATATAAGTACTGGAAAAAGAGAAAAAAACCATGCCTAGTTAATAGCTATTTGTATGTAAATAAGATAAGAGAGGAAGGTATCAATTATACAAAACACCCATATTATAATACACTTTATCTGGATATATATAGCATTTCTGATGATATTTTTAATATAAACATGACAAAAATAAGAGATTACAATGTAATTTACACTGATGGATCTAAGCTTGATCAGAATGTGGGCTGTGCAATATATTTGGAAAATTTGAACATTAAGTTGGGATATAAACTGCCTGATTTTGTTTCAATTTTTACTGCGGAAATTTTTGCTATTAAAAAGGCAATAGAGTTAATTCAAAGGCACAAAATAATGAAGACAGTTATATTCACCGACAGTAAAAGTAGTATAGAAACTCTACAAAATTTATACAACAAAACTCGGCTATCAGATATATTGTTCTATGAAGTGTGGTTCGATATTAATAGGCTGATGAGAATAGGGTATACCATTAAAATAATATGGATTAAGGCTCACTCAGGAATCAAAGGAAACGACATGGCTGATAAAATAGCAAAACAAGCAACAAAAAATGGATCTATTATGCATGTAGCAACATACAAGGATTATGTGAAACGGTGTAAAAATAGAAATTTTAAAGAGTGGCAAAAAGTATGGATCGATCCAAATGAGACTAGAGGGGCCTATTATAGAGTATGCAATCCAACAGTGGGAAGCAGAATGTGGCAAGAAAGTTTCAAATTCGAGGATAGAAGAACCTTAGTAACATTAACGAGGTTAAGATTAAACCATGGAAGCTTTCCATCACACCTGCATCGGATAGGTGTTGCAGCTTCGAATGTATGTAGGTGTGGTAAATCAGTTGGAAGTGGAGAACATTTAATATTGGAGTGTGGTCTGTTTGAGAAGAACAGACAAGATATGTTGAATAAGCTGCATGAGTGTAGTTGCATAGAAAAACCAGTTAATTTAGTTACAATATTAAGAAGTGTGAAGTGCTATAGTATTTTAGTTAATTTTATTAGATTAAGTGGTATAAATATATAATTATTGTTTATTGTTAATATAATATTGTATGTGGCTGTATTGTTATTAGAGGCCAAATAAAAATAAAAAAAAAAAAAAAATTTGTTTATATTTATAACAAGTTCTGTTTCAACTAAATTAGCTCGCAATTTTTCGTCAATAATGTCCAACAATTAATTTAATCTTTCGCAGGTTTGCGCTTATGGGACTGAACACTAGACTTATATAAATAATAAAAAATATAAATAATATATTATAAATTGAATTTCCGAAACTCGTTTTGGCGCCCCCTAAAACGTGCGCCGGCATTTTTTGCATGCGTCGCATGCAAGGCAGGACCGGCCCTGTATGTACATAATATAAATATTAAAAACGAATATTTACCTGATGCTGCGTGAAGAGTACGCGTCGTTTCCGTCTCTGCACCAGAGGGAACTGCATCGGTTTGGTGTCGGTGGCGCCCATGTTGCATGGACCCAGGCCGGACACGGGGCCCAGGCCGCCCATATTATTCATCGCGTGACTCATGTTGGACGAACCACTCATCAGCCGCGATACTAGAAACAACAATTTCACACTTCGTTAAACACTGAGGAAAATCAGTTTATACATCTTACGATAGTGGCGTCGATTAGTCTAATTGACGAAGAGCACTTGTCGCATTACCACCATTCGGATTTTCAAACCGGAATCATGTTTTTGTCGAAATTTTGTTTTTTTTATATTTAGTTTTTGTATTAGCAATGTAAAGTTTTGCAGTACTAGTTACTGGTAACAGCTAGGATAGCATTGGATTATCGTAATTTATGCCACTCACATAAAGCTTATGAATTAGGAAATTTGCTGCTTTTGGCCTACCCATTTTTTCCCTTTGGCCTACCTACTTTGGCCTAATATTGACGCCAAAGTTCATCATATTTCTTATGAATCCACATATAGATTTTCAAGTTTTACAATAAGTTAATCAGCATTAGAATGATTACATACGCGTCAAAACAATCATCAAATAATATTTAGATATTTATTGTAATGCACCTTTTTTAGTAAAATATTTTCGTTTCATTTTTTTTATTTATTGTTTCCACAGCAATCAGAACTCTTTATTACTGTTCTATAAGCTGTTTTTGTGTATGACTTATGTGTATGACCTGAGGTATTGATATGAGAAGCAACCCATCGGTTGATCATTCTCCTATGTGTGGGGGTTTTATTAGCTCTTATGTCTAATAGTGTGCATATGACTGTATGCAACTATGTCCACGAAGGACGATTTCCACTTGGAATTATATTGTGATCTATAACCCCAAGTGGAAATTTGACATCAAAGTTGCCTGATGTCAGGCTTGGCGGTAGCGGGAATAGAACCAGCGAACCTGGGACTAGTTGGTGCTAGCCCACGCTCTAACCGATATCGCCACCGCTGGCCTATTTTCGTTTCATAAAAAAGTATGTTTATATGAATTTATATATAAAATGGTACTAAAAACTGTCAAAATGGTATGTATTTGCTGTGCGATCAGGCGCTTTACACCATAGATAAATAAGTACAAATGCTTCACACATAAAATCTAACGTCATGTATGATAAAATCGTGCGTTTTCTAGGTTAAGTTTTCTATTTAAAACACCCGACTGTACAGCAATCACATGGCATTTTAAAGTTTTCAGAACCATATGAAATACTCAACGTAACATAGCCTTGCCATAACATTGGTCTATTTTACGGCAGAATCGGCCTTTTAATTTATACAGCCAAGATTTATATTTATTTCAAAGCATGGAAAGATCCATTAATAACAGTACAAAGTTTTACAGAATATTTAAATATGCGGTATGAAGTTTTATAAACAAATTTTAATTTTTAAGGCTATAATTTATATTATTCAGTTCACTGTGGCAAACTTGTATCGACAAAGACACAAAAATATTCTAAATAATTGAAATTTGAAAATGTATTTTTTTTAGTATATACGTATACTCGCCTATACACAAAATTGTTACACTTCTTTATATCAAGCACAGTTATCTGGTTAAATAAAACAATTCTCGTAAAACAAGCAAATACTTATTGATAAAAGTTTGCAAAACCTCGAAGTATTCAGAATAAATATATTGAAAATTGTCATAATTGAGAGAAAAATATAATAGGATTAAATTTTGTTCATCGGACAGACTACAAGACACTAAGTTTTCTAAAAATGTTCAATTCATTCGGTGCAAAATGGTTTGTTTTGTAAGCACCATCATAAACGGCGCCAAATTATGCAGTCATCTTCTTACTGCATGTAGCATACGTATACGGGCACTTAATATATATTTTTTTTAGTTATTATTCAATTGAACAAACATAATTGAAAGCTTTTCCATGAGCATTCTTATTACTAATTAACACCAAAACGATGACTCTTTCATAAAATTGGTTGATTATTGTTTCGCCTATCATATTACACTCCGATTTATATTGATGTCAGTACATAATATAATAGTATGCAGGATACGTAGGATAGATACCTGCACACAGTGACAAAACATTTCACATTGTAGTCATTGAATACTTCAAATGTAGGTTGTACTTCGATTTGCATTTAATTTATTAATGCACTATTTAAGTGCAGTGAACATTAATATTATGAAAATATATAAAAAGGGCCTTCGATGACGAACGACCCAGAAAATCAACACTGACAGGCATGATTGCATAATGACAACGAATGATTTACATTCTTCCACGAAGTTATTACTACTGTTTATACTAGAATGAATGTGCTTCTGCAAAGAATTATTTTTATTGTCAGATTGGCAGTTTGTAGCTGACATTACCACTGATAATATCGATATTTTGTATTTAAATTTTGACAACTATTGATAAACTGTTATGAGAACTATGATTGCATTTTTTCTAAAATATTAAATATAATCTTACGTTTCGGAACTTTGATATATAAAATTCATAAGAATTATTTTTAGCAAGTTATAGCATATTGCAAATTATTAGAAATGAAACATATTTTCAAATGATTGATGAAAAAAATAATAAAATAACACCCGAGAGTTTAGTTTGACCCTAATATAATTTCTAAGATTTAATTGTTTTATAAGAGGTATTGTTAAATTTAAGTTTGATTCAACAGTTTTTTTATATAGCTTAATAAAAGCTTACACATGTGTGAGATAAAAAGGACCAACTAAATCTTTACTTTGGCAAATGCGTAAACAATAAAATAACAGTAAATAAAAAAAAGTAAATTAAGTTAAAAAAAGCAATATTACAAGAGGCAAATTAAATAAATAATTATTCCAACTCTGCCGATGAAAAATTTATGAAAACAAGAAAACAAAACACATTTCTAGAAAAATGAATTAGCTGGTAATTTTACTGAACATAGACTGTATCGTGCATAGTGCATAGTGTTGTGATATAATTGGTTTGATTTTCACAATATAAATGCTGAAAGTCAAATTGGACCTTTGTATCAATCTTTCTGTAACGCTCTGAAAAATCGATTTCCATACCACGCAGAGCAAAAATTGCAGCAACCCTCCTATACCACGATACTCTTAAAGCACTGGTTTTATCCAAAAGCCCTTAAGTTTATTCCGCGTAACTTATGAATGATTTCAGTAACTAGATATAGTAGTAAAAGGCTTTAATATAGGTCTCATTCATGTCTTATTATCGACTATTTTATAGTTTTCAAAATGTTTATGTTGAAACATGCCAGTAAATTATATATAATAGTTATGTTCAATAATACGGGTATTATTGTGCGTTTTTCCTTTCTCCAAAATTATGACGTAGAATAATACGTCAAATAATAAAAATCTTTTAAAATCTTTTTTACTTAATGTAATGTCCCCAAGAAATTATTCATACATTTCAATATCAAAATTAACTATTCTTAATGTATATATATATATATATATATATATATATATATATATATATACAATAAATATGAAATTAATTTACTATGTATTATCCGCTTATTATTTTTAACAATGATACCTGTAGCGATTTAACTTCAAGATGATCGAAAACGTTTATTTTAAAATGACAAATCAATCGTCTTCGATTGAAATCACGATTTGTTTATACATCGCGTCATTTACCATTCTATCACCCCGATCCCTCAAAATAAATAATTTTTTTTATCTCGTTCAAAATCCGCTGAAGAAAGTAAAACTCACGTAGAGTATGTTGAATATACGAAGGGTATCAAAGGCAGTTTTTTTTTCAAGTCGCCAATATTGATACCATAAAATGAACAAATGGAATGTAACTCATATACAATTCATTATAAAAAATAGAAAACTGATATAGGCGTGCATGATATTTCTAATCGATAATAAAAAAATTGAAAAAAGGATTGTCGAAATTGTAAATAATTTTATATAATCTACATATAATCTGAGCTTTCTTTGAAAAATTAGTAAAATTAGCGATAATTTAAGCAGTAGGGAAGACTGGGTACGGTTGTGCCAGGGTACCGTAGTGACAGTTGTCATAACAGGTAAACTGATTTTGAGATAAGGTCCAAAGGAGAAAGATGAAGTTTGATTGTTCAAACAAGTTCCCATTATTGCCTTGCATTAAAATTATCTGTAGGCCGCATTGCTTTTAAAGAGTCAAAAGTAAGTTTCCATCTACGAATTCTTTTAATAATATCTGTTAATTGTATACTTCATCACTTTGTTATTTTGCTGTGAGTTGAATATTGGTAGTTAAATACGAGAAATTAGTTTTTACATAGATAATTTATCTCAGCCATAATGAGGATTTGTCTTCAAAAGTGTGCGTTGTGGCAAATTCTGGGGCGTGGTTGTGACATGTTGTTCTTGTTCTTCTCGAGTAAATATTAAGCAGGTTAAAAAATAAACCTAACTTAACTAACAATAAGAGAAACTACGAAAGAGAATTAAAAAAAGAAAATTTTCACAAAATATTCTTGTTAACTTTGTTTAAAAAATTATATTTGTTATATTTTATTCATTATAAATGTTTTGCCATAATTGTTACATATCATAACTGAAAGGTTTACTACTGAGTAACCTTTTAAGCATCCATTTTTACTACCTACAATCTACAATCAAATTACTGAATGTCTCTTGGAGACAGATTGTAATTTACATGGGAATAAAAAAAATATTTTATTCATAAGATTTGCTCAAATGTTTATGTTGTCGATGATCGTCTGATAGATACCTGCACATAGTGACAGAACATTTCACATTGTAGCATAGTCACTGAATTCTTCAAATGGAGGTTGTACATTTAATTTATGAATGCACTATTTAAATGCAGTAAACATTAACATGAAAATATATAAAAAGGGCCTTCGATGACGAACGGCAAATTTTATGTTATTGAGAACTACCATAGACAAAATATTGTATTTAAACAAAGAAGCACTCAAGAATATTTTACATTGCTATAATATAGACTCAAATAAGGTAATAATATTATAAGACACATATTATAAAATACACATCTTTGAGCTCCAAATTTCGATGATTTTAGTAGCTTAAAATGTATTAGTGAAATATTAATAACATCTCTC